CTCATTCGAAAAACTTTCAGAAAAAATAATGGGTTTAATATATGGAAAAATCATTCTATTATAAACACTGAAAATTTAGTCATATTTGTTTTGAACTGTGTTTATGTTGTCAGATGTAGCCCTGAGAAATAGCAAGTAGTAATTTCTTTTCAGATGTTATAAAAGGTAAAATGGCATAGTAAAACATCCAGAAGGATAAACACCACAGTTCTAGGAAAATAAAAATACTATATGTGTAATAATTTTGAGAATGCTACTGTTGGAAAAACCCAGTCATTTGTGTTCGAGCTATTTAAACTGGTAAGACAGGGAGAGATGGTCCAAGGTAAGTTTAGAAAAAAAGCCCTTTGGATTAGAGACTTCTGTACTAAAATATATGTTCCTCTTGCACTATTAATGAAAATGCTTATCATTACCAAAAATATTTTATTACAAAAGCAGTGTTTCATGGTATGAAAATGGAAAATAACATGTGTTTCTTTTTTTAGGGTTTTTTTAACAGAAGAGACAGTCACAAGTATACTAAAAATTTAAAAAGGAATGCTCAGATAATATTAAAGACAATATATGCAACACTGTGTTGGGTTGACACTGGCTGGATGCTAGGCGCCCAAAGTTACTCTATCCATCCTCTCAGCTAGGCTGGGAAGAGAAAATACAACCAAAGGCTCTTGGGTTGAGAGAAGGACAGGGAGAGCTTCCATCATGGGCAAAACAGACTCAGGGAAATTAATTTCATTTATTAATTAAAATATTCATATATTAATCAAATCCTATCACTGTAATGTGAAATAAACCCTAAACTTTAAAACACCTACCCCCCACCCCTCCCTTCTTCTCAAGCCCAACTTCACTCCTGATTTTGCTCCACCCCCTTCCTCATCAGTACAAGGGGACAGGCAATGGGGGTTGCAGTCAGTTTATCATATGTTGTTTCTGCTTGTCCTTCCTTCTCTTATTCTTCCCCTGCTTCAGCATGGGGTCCCTCCACAAACTTCTCTGGCTTGGGTTCCTTCCATAGGTTTCAGTAATTGAGAAACAGACTGCTCCAGCATGGGTCCTCCATGGGTCACAGGTCCTTCCAGGCTACAGCTCCAGCATGGGCTCCTCTCTCCATGGGGTCACAGGTCCTGCCAGAAGGCTGATCCAGTGTGGGCTTCCCAAGGGTTTACAGCCTCATTTGGATATCCACCTGCTCCACCATGGACCTCCAGGGACTACAGAGGCACAGATGCCTCACCACGAGCTGCACCACCAGCTGCACCACCAGCTGCAGAGGAATCTCTGCTCTGGCACCCAGAGCACCTCCTTCCTCCCCTTTTTCACTGACCCTACTGTCTGCAGAGGTGTTTCTCTTATATGTTATCACTCTTTTCTCCAGTCACTGTTGCCCAGCAGATTTTTTCCATTCTTAAATTTGTTATCCCTGAGGCCTTGGCCAGCAGTGAGTTCATCTTGGAGCTGTCTGGAATTGGCTTTGTTGGACGTGGGGGGAAGCTTCTGGCAATTTCTCACAGAAGCCACCCCTGTAGTCACACTGTTGTCAAAGTCATGCCATGCAAACTCAATGCAATCACACACAAAATCATTCAAATTACTATTTGCTTAGCGTTAGAATATATTGGTACTTTGCTGGATTAGGTGTATGGATCTAAATCTTTCTCCAAAGTAAAGATTAGATAATCAGAAATAGGAATTATATGATTTTGTAATATTTGTTATATTGCATCTATTTAAGTCTTTACACAATTGGAAATATGTAGAAAATAATAAATGATTCTAAGCATGTAGACAAATGTAAAGCCTATCATAGCAGTTTGCAAGTTGAAGCTCTAACCTCTGTGAATTTCAGTCTGTCAGTATCATACAACTGAATACTCATGTTAGAAATATATGTATACGTATGTGTAGAGCACATACACACAGCCAGTAGAAAAATTGCTGAATGCTCAATCTCAAGACAAATATATAGTCTATAAGTTTGAACCGATAAAATCTCTTCAGGAGTGCAGAAAAAAAAGTCAATAATTTTCTAATTACATGGTAATTTTTAACATAAATGGATGGTAAATACCGTAAATTTCTATATGACCAAATTATAATTATGTTTTTATTTGAAAGAGTCATCAAGGAACTGAAGCAGGTAATTAAATTGACTCATCTACTTTCATCAAATTTGTAAAAGTACATAATAAAGTCAGTCAGAAACATGAGTTTGGGGTATATGCTGTTCCCTGGAAATTGCTGGAATTATATTGGTTATAAATATATATGTGAGACTATTTATGTATGTAGGATCCAAAGAACTTTGTATAGGCAAGTCCATTCATTTGAGCAATGTTAGCCCAGACGACAGTTGTTGAAGATCTCTGCCTAGGTTCATACTGAGCGCTAACCTATCCCACCCAAAACCAGTCATAATACAGGCTGAGTCTGGCACCTATTCACCATGCTGTTCCTCTAGCTCTGAAGAAAATGAGGAACACTTTGACCAGGGCAGACAAACAGAGCATGGCACCACGGTGTGTGTGGAAAGGTGCCTCTCTGAAGGAGGAACATTCCACGGTCTGAGTAGAGAGATTTGGAGTCCACATAACCCAGCATCTAGTTACAGCACCCTTCTGTAATCATCTGTACATTGTCAAAGGCACTACCTGACCCTTAAGGTTGTGCTCCAATTGGGAGGACTCCATGATCTACGTGGTGGTGCCTGATACTTCCCCCCAGATGGAGCTGCTGAAGGGAGAGGCTGCATTGCAGACCTCACACTGTGGGAAGTGCCTCGACCCTTTTGCTGTGGCAGGGACAGGCTGCAGATCTGCCTGCAAAAGCTGTGCCCATGTGGGGGACTGCTATTCTTTCATCAGTGATACAGCCTGGAGCAGTCTGACAGATCAAGAAGGATTACAGAGCCCTAGGTGCAGTTGTAAGGGGGCCTGGAGTGCAGGCAGCTTTTTCATTGGTCCTCACAGTCAGAGGGTAGGAATTTGAAAATGCCACTGATATCTAGTAAATTGACAATTCATCAGATTATGGTTAGAGGACTGGTGCCATAGCCAGGGGTTCAGCTACTTAGATTATGGAACTTGTTTTGAGAAACCTGGTCTATGGAGGGCTTATGGGGAACATCTGTCAGAGAAGGGAAAGAGCACCTTTTGTTATAGACTTGCCAAGGTGGTGAAGAGGGCTTTAAACTAAAAAAGGTTTGCTGAAGGAGGGGAACCTCAATCCATCCCACTCCTACCAGTTTGATACCAGCACCACCTCTCCGCCCAGAGCCTGGAGAGGGATTACAGGTCAGCAGGAGGGTACCTGAGGAGCAGCACAAAGGCATCCCTCTCATTTAGTCAGCAAACAGTCTTCATCAAGAGCTCAACTTCAATGCCTATATGCAAGTGCACGTAGGGTGGGGAATAAACAAGAGGAGTTAGAGGTGCACACTAGGATCTTATTGGCATCACAGAGATGTGTTAGGATGGCTCCTAAGACCTGACTGTTGGAATGAAATTATAGAGTATCTGTAGGAAGGATAGACAGGGGAGACAAGGAGGGGCTGCTGTCCTCTGCGTCAATGACCAACTAGAGTTCATAGAGCTTTCTCTGCCTGGGGATAGATGAGAAGCTGACCAAAAGACATCAACTTATGTGGTGCAGTCCTCATTCTGGAGGGAAGGGATGCCATCGGAGGGGACTTGACAGACTTGAGAGTTTGCTCCAAGAGAATCTCATCAGGTTGAACAAGGCCAGGTGCAAGGTCCTACAACCAAGTCGGGGCAATCTCAAACACAAATACAGCCTGGGTGGAGAATGGATCAAGACTAACCCTGGGTAGAAGGATTTGATAGGGGTAGTGGATGAGAAGCTCAATGTGACCTGGCAATGTGCACTTGTAGCCCAGAAAGCCAACCACATCCTAGTCTTCATTAAAAGAGGTGTGACCAGCAGGTCGAGGAAGGTGATTTTTCCCCTCTGCTCTTCTGAGACCTCACCTGGAGTGCTGCATTCCTCTCTGCATTCCTCTCTGAGAATGGGCTGGAGAACCTCTCCTCTGAAGACAGGCTGAGAGCTGGGGTTGCTCATCCTGGAGAAGAGAAGGCTCTGAGGAGACCGCTGTGCACCTTCCAGCACCTAAAGAGGGCCTACAAGAAAACTAGAGACTTTTTAAAAGGGCATATAGTGACAGTATGAGGGGGAATGGATTCAAACTGAAAGAAGGTAGCTTTGGATTATATACAAGGAAAAAATTCTTTACTGTGATGGGGATGAGACACTAGAACAGATTCCCCAGAGAAGCTGTGGATACCCCGTTCCTGGAAGTGTTCAAGGCCAAGTTGGATGGGTCTTCGTGCAACCTGGTGTAGTGAAAGGTGTCTCTGCCCATGGCAGGGGGTGGAACAAGATGATCTTTAAGGCCCCTTCCAACCCAAATAATGTTATGATTCTATGAAATAACTACCTTTCTGATTTTCCTTTCACTTTACATTGACATTTCCCATTTCCACTCCCTGGTTAGAATTTGTCTCTCCTCTTATGCAAGACTTACATGTAATATAGTCTATAAAAATTTTATAAAATGAAACAAAATTTGAAGATCAAAAGTCAACTGGCTTAATGGAATTATAGGAAATTATTCAAAGTATTTGATTGTGTATTTCCTTATGACACTTTAAAAGAAAAATAAAATATATATAGCTAGGACAGAGGAGGAAGTAAGGAGCATAAATGCCCATTATTCTAAAACCAGGTTGAACAAGTACATGGAAACTGTGGAGGTAGATAGACAGCAAAGAATGCATACAGTCTGTAATCATCTCATACATTCATCTAAATTCTGAAAGAAAAAAGTTTGAGATGTCAAAGTATAAATTTCAAATAAATGCTTCGAAACACTGGATTTTTAATATTCTTTTATTTTTTAAGAAATACTCTCTCCCAATCTATTTTTCCTATTTTCTTCTTAAAACACAGTGATACTCTTAAGATCTACATGTTGCAAGGGAGGTACAATCAACCACATAGTGTGGATAAAGATCAGTTGTGAGAACTCACACAAGTTCTTATGAGTGAAATAAATCTGGTAGAGTATGAGTGGAAATTAGCTCCCCCATGGGTCTTGTTCTAGTCTGCACAGCTGTGAATATTATTCTGTTTCAACTCTCTATCCTCTAAGTATTTAGATATAAAAAAATGACTCAGTAGAAATACCTGTTAACTAAACTAACAAGAACTCATAGAATACGTTAGCCTACTCTCAGCATTCAGAGCTCTGTGCTTACTACTTGTCAGAGTGATACCACAGAGGTCAAAAGATGCAGAGTTGCGTTAATAAATTATTACAAAGACAAGATAATATATTTGATACACGTGTTTCCATCAGAAGCTGATGAGTCTAAGTATTACACACTATTATTGAAGCATTAAAATAGCATTGTATGACAAAAATACAACACAAAATATATTAAGGTGACTAGCACACTTTGTTGGAACAAAACCTATTTATAATATCCAGGATTAAAAAAAAAAATAAAAAAAAACCACACCTCCCAAAAAAACAAAAACCAAGCCACAGCAGCAACAGCAAAAAAGAAAAATTTCCTTTTTAGAAATTTTTTTCTTCTTTTTGTTTTGTTTTTCTGCATCAAATATGTGCTAATCAGCAGTCCTAGCACTTTGGTCATTTTAGAAAACAGACGGTTGACAGACTTTTAAGAGAAGAAAATTACAGAAGGAGAAAGCAGTGTATCTGAAAGTATTTTACATTTATACCTTCTAAGTACTGTCCATTTGTTTACTTTGTAGGCTGTTGATTCCAGGATCTATCTGAATTTTGCAGCTGAACATTTTTTAAAAACACTGCAATTATTTCTCCATTCAATTCTTTTAATCAGAAGCATTAAACAGATTGATCTGCAAAACACAAACATGGCAACCCAGAAATTATGCGTGTATTCTCTATTAGCAGAGTCTCTAGCTCAGAGTTAGATATCTTGTTTGGCAACTGAGGAGAGCATCTCAGTTCTACAGCTTTGTTTCGTATTTACAGCAATGTGCTGGAGAAGGATTTGGGATCAACTACTACATCTTAAATGAAATCATTTAACTTAATCACATAGTCGTAAAATTCTCATGTTTTGCATTCTCTCTTTTTTTTTTTTTTTAATTTTACCTGGGGTCCAATATTTAATTAGCTATATAAAGTGGACAGTTTTACCTGTATCCCAAAATCCTTACTGAGGAAGTAGGATTTACAGGTTCCTGCTCCAAAACATGAGATGGGATTTGACAACCTACCTGCTATGTGAAAATGGTAACTAAGTGGCTATTGGTAAAGTGTTTAGCCAGAGACAAAAATGTCTTGTTCCAGCCTGTCACTTCTGCTACGCTTTGTTTGGTAGTCATTTTTAGAGGAGGCTTAAGACACTGGATCCAACCATTGAGATAGTCAGGAGAAAACCTTGCTTTCTGAAAATGCCCCTGGGGTTAAGCATGAGTTTGCGATTTGAGCATCTCGCACAAGCAGGACATAAGCAGTTCTGACATGCCTGCTGGCAGAAACTATGTGGACTTAAAAATCACTGAGGCAACTACGGGGTAACAGCTGATAAGTAGGGGGTTTAAGAATCTTAAAAGCAGGTAAGTGCCACCGAAAGAGAATCAAAATTCAAAACCTATGTGTGTAAGGTAATTTTTAAAATGGGACTTAGGAGTTTTTGAAAATATCCTGATGAAACTAAATTTAAAAATACAACATAAATACAGTTATATTTCTTTTGTCCTACAATATCATAAAAACTATTTTTTAACAGATTACATGCTCAATTATATATTCCTTTACAGCAGCTTCATGGCAGGGAAACTCCATCTGAATAAAGCTAATGTAACAGAGTAGAAAATAAAACTCTCTGTCTAATTTGCTCTAAACTCTACTTCATGTTCCTAAAAAGTTAGAGAGATGCAGGAGTGGACCCAAAGATCAAAGGAAATCAAATCTCCAAATTTTTGGGCCAAGACAGTCAGAATGCTCCTGTTTCACTAATTATCAATATTACAAGATGTAAGCAGTCTGTCTTGATGTAGCAAAGCCAACAACTTTGCACCTATCAGCAGTTAACCCATGATACTGCACATGATTTTCAGTACAAGTATACTATTAAGGACATAAATAGACACTGTTTACTTTGCTAAAGCGGTGCCACAGTTTTAACATCTTGAAGAGCATAACTTTTAAGACAAAAAGATTTACTAATCCTTATAAATATCCTCAAAATATGACCTTTCATAAATGCATGACTGTTTTCAACTATGTTGACAACAGTACCATCTCCCCTGAGGTTATTTCAGAGTCCTGACTGTGTGTAGAGCTTATTCCAGTATCAGAGTCTGTATCATTTATGTCCAGATTAGTCACTCTATGAACAAAGTCAGGAACAGCAGTGCTGTTACTGGAGATGCCACTGCCCTTGGATGGCTCTTCATTTGATTGAAGCCTAGTTTCAACGTTGTCTTTAACATGTAGTAAATTAAATTCTTCGGTAAGAAGTTCATATTCTTTTTCCTTCTTTTGAAGCAGTGAGTCCCTGTATGTAAGTTCTTTCTGAATGCAGCTCAGGTATGAGTTGATTCTTAGACCATCTTTCATACTTTTTTCCAGCTCATATTTTACACTTTCTAAACTTGAGTTTTCCAATTCAGCATTAGCAGCTACTTCTGTGTGAATATCATCTACATTTTTTTCCGTGCATATACCTTGTACCTCTTTTTCAATTTCAGCGCACAGGTTCTCTATTAATTGTTTGTGATGTTTCAATCTCTCTTCAACCTGTAAAATGCCCTCACTTTTGCTCAAATACTCATGCATTTCTCTTTGATCATCTGGCCTACTCCTTTGCTGCTCAGCCTCAGTTGGATTGATCATTAAGTAGGAGTCCTGCACGTAATTTTCTCCGTCATTGGCCACACGATCTAGATGGAATTTTGCTTCACATTTTTCGATTTCCATATCTAGTTCCTTCATTCTAAGGACTTGTTGATGAATGGTATGATCTTGAGAAATTATCAGATGAATTAGTGTCTCCATATTGTCTCTCTCTTGCTGAACACTGTCCTGTTTAAGCTTGGCCAGTTTCCGGAAAGTCTTCCTCACAATTTTCTTTTGCTTGTCTATTGGCAACATCTTCATGTAATTTGCTGGGCTGAGGTCCCACTGTTTTTCTACATTTTGTATTACCTTGGCTTCAGCTGTCTTCCACAATGGAAACGAGAGGAAGGCATCTGACTTTACCAACACAAAATGCAAATTAGACTGCTCTTCCCCCCAGGCCTTCCAAAGTCTCAGAATCTTTGTCAAGGGAGGCAGTACTCGCTCCGAGCCTCTCCATTTTTCTATGATGCAGTAATCACTAGGTTTTCCAAAAAGGACCTTTTTCTCTCCAAATGTTGTCTGATGCTCCTCAAGCAGTGCTTGAATCACTTCTGAGCAAGTTGTGCGCTTTGTCAGGCCACATACAATCTTCTCCTCCTGGCAAACCCAAACCACAATCTCTCTTTCATTTGAAGCCATGTCCTTGCTGGGAGACCTGGAGAACAAGAAGACATAAAGTATAAATTACATATCAGTGGCACAGAATAATTACTATAATTCCAATATGACATCAGATTGAAAAATTTGTGTACTATTGTGCAAGATAATATACTTGTTTAAATTCCATGAAGAAATATCTTTGGATTATGTAACAGCTTAAGCCACCAGCGCGCCTGTAGCAAATGTGGATAGAGCCTTCCCAAATCTTCGTTCGCGAAGCCTAGCCGTGATGTAACAGCTTTAATCGGCCACTGCTTTAATATTACCACCAAGTCAGCTGGCAATCTCACACAAAATGTCTTTTATCAAATTTAGTTTTTGTTCACATAGTAAGTGTGTATTAACAATCAGTGATAAAGTTTGGCAATCTGTATTACATATCCAGACTGTCCTAGGACAACACAATTTCCTCATCACATAGACGTCGCACAAACATTTCTAAGCTCTTAATATCACCAAGGCTTCAGAAGAGAAGAATGCACTGAACATAGATGGACTGAGGAAAGCTGACTGAACACCATGAAAGTTAAAAGAATTTGACAATAAGATAAATCTATAGTTCTTTTGCCACACACAGACCCACACAAGCGTAAACACCATTGTTTTCCAGTGCTATTTTTCACTAACAAGCCTCAAGAAATTTGTTGATTTTCCTGAAGCACCAAATTGCATGAATTCCAGTGAGCTGTGAAAGAATACCAACTGCAAGAGAACACATATATGGGTCTGTATTTTATAATGTTTGAAATTATACAAAAATGCAAGAAAAGCAAAAAAGTTTATTTATTTATTTGTTTGCTTATGAATTGCAATGAAAGTGCTATTTAATTGATATCACCTTACACTAAGATACTTAAGGTGTCTGATATTCCTTTATGGCTACTGTAACTGTCTAATCAGTACAATCAGTCGTGCCTAGAGAGCAATTCAGCTGACCAAAGGGAGAAATTCACCTTACAGCTAACTCTTCAGTTCATCCCCATCTGAGTGGTCCTGAATTTCTATGGGCCTATGTTGGCAAAGTTGCCAGGATATTCGTGTCCTCAAGACTCCACATGCATAATTTACTGCTTGTCCAAACCTGATAATTTGACCTCTTTTATCATAAAATGGTAAAACACTAAATTCCCTGAGAAAAAATGCCTTTCTTTGGATTTTCTGGTACCTCTTGCAGTTAGTTTGAATAAATGAGATTTAACCCAGTCTGACAGAGAAAACTTGCAAATGAAAATAACTATTCAGACAATATTCAAAGTGCTCAATACAACATTTGCTTCTATCTGGCACTACTTATTCGGAGACCTTTTCTAGTCTTCTGAAATGTAGGGGGAATGGAGTTTTATTTGGCTTGATTATGGTTATACCCTATGATTATTAAAGCAATACAACTTGTTTCTTTTTTTTAATTATTACACAACATGACAGACACACTGCAGTCTAATAAATTGAACTATGACTGACTCAACTCTAGGTGCCACTCTGATCAGGAGGCAATAATCCTCAAAAGACAGGAGAGTGCAAATGAATACTAATAAAACTGACAAGAGTGAGCTTATTAGTATCATTGCAGAGGAGAGGTCTGTCCAACTACGTTGCTTCAGGTCTTGGAACATCCTCTGTAAAATCTGTGTTTTGGTAGATTACTCTGAGTAATGACATAATTTTCCCACTTCAATAGTTCCCCCTTACAGACCAGCATTTTACAGTAATTATTTTTTGAAGCTGGTGCTCAGAAGATTAATAATGTTTTCATAGACTACTTCTCAAAATAAGAAAGTATTTGTCACAGACATAGAAAATGGCACAAAGAAAGTAATATTCAAGTTTAAATGGGGGAGAGGAAATGAAAGATGATACTAGATTAAATGGCATTACTGTTAAGTATGTCACATGCTAAAAAGTTAACATCTGTAAGTGCTTTTAGATTTGAAAAAACAGGATGCTATAGAATTTTTTCTGTTGACAGATCAGGAGTTAAGTGAAACGAAGGTAAACAGCAAATTGCCACATGAGTCAACTGTGACTATAAAATAACCAAGGGTTGTTTTTTTTTCACCACAGATATGAGAAGAAATACCCGATTAGGAACTCTGAGGCAGTAAATTCAGTGTTTGTTCTTCCTGGTTTCTTTTGTAATCAAGAAATATATTTCAAGGAATGAGTATTATCTCCTCTGGCATTCTTCCAAGTGTATCTTATGCAATTTGTTTTCACATTGAAACTCTTCCTATTAATTTTTTTTTTATTCTTGTTTTTGGTTGATTGCCATATTTTTTCCTGGTCAATATTTTCAGTATGTAACAGATTATGTGAATTAAGAAGCTTACAGTCTCTTCTTCTCCTGGTTCCTTTAAAGTTTTCTTATGAAAACGGTTTCTCTCTGTGATATTAGTAAAACTACAGATAAAATCTGAAAATCCCTAGACACCTTATCTTTATTGTACTGATAAATACCTCTGCTATACCCGTTTTTATACAAAATTCTCACAGAGTTCAGCAGGAGTAAAGCAAAATTCTGATGGCAACCCACTGTTTATTGTAAAGCAATCTCTACAGGATCCCTGAAACTATATAGGTGTAAAAGAACATCTTTAAATTACTGTTTTCAGTCCTCTTTTAGACATTTATCACCCCTTGTTATTTTTTCAGTTATGATGCACCTGTCTACACAGAATTTACATTAATATTTTTCGGAAGGATTGTTCTTTGTTTTGTCTATAGCACATAACTAGTAGTAGCACTGCAAAATATTATAATGTATGCACATACAGGTAAACAAAGAACTCGAGTAGCTTAAACATGAAAATATATACTTATAAATATATATGTATGTATGTAAAGTATGTAATCTATACCTTTAATTATATTGTCACCTTTTATGGAAAAGGAGAGAAGAAATTAAAAAGAAATTCTGAACATCTCTGTAGTTATTCAGTCAAAACAAAACTGTAAAGTACAAATTCATTTTCTTTTCTATGTGTTTGTTACAACATATGTTATCTTAAATTTTATTGACGTCTCACTAAAATTTTGATTTTTTTTTAATCAAAAAGATTTAGCAAATAATTCATAATCTTACATTTCCATCACATTCTAATATCTTCTAAAATATCAAAAGTGGTTTATTGTTTTCTTCCACTAAAAAATGGTAAACTGATGCACTTTACTATGGACATTATAAGTAACATTTATTATATAATTCTTTTATCATAGTTAATTCAGATAGTTCCAAACAAAAACGAACCATTATTGTGTCAGTCAGAAAAGAACAATTATTAAAGACTTGCTTTCAGGATGCAGGAAAATGTTAGTACAAGGAGGCATCTGTTAAGCTCTACTTTCCTTATAGAAAGTGAAGCACAGATTATCCATATACAAAGAGGAATTCATCTCACTTAGACATGTGAAAATTAAAATTTCACTATAAATTCACCATCAGAAGTTCCTCTTTGTCAAGAGAAGAGAGTGGACCACCAAGGCGAAATTACCATTGCCTAGACCATCTATGATAATTGGAATGAATTCTCAAATTAAGCTATTTCTCTCTTTCCTTAACTATAAGAGACCTATGTGGCCACCTTCAATTACATAGCTCATTTTCAGGTAACTGAATTCAAGTGAGATTAATCCAATCAGATTATAGTTTATTGTCTGAGAGAAATGTAACAAGAATGGTTACAGCAGCAGCAGATTTAGTAATGATAACTAAAAGATAACATATTACAACTTCTTAGCTTAGTTTAGACCTTGACTGTTCCATTCATTGTTGAATTTATTACTGTAATTTATGAAGAAATCCATTAATTCATTCCAATACTAAGGAAGATATCTTGAATAAATGTTGATAATTGACAATAATTTTTTTTCCGAAATGCAATATTATAAATTATAATCTTTAGCAACAGGATCTTCTTTTAAACAGTCACTTTAAGGGAGAGGCAAGCTTCTCATGTTTATAGGTTGCTTGCCTTCCATGGCCTGCAATTTTGTAAAGGACATAAAAGAACCACCGTTTTTAATAGTGTATCAGTTAATGAGAGTGTAAGAGTGAAAGCGTTTTTCCAGTTTAAATGGTTCGTTTTCCCAAAAAACACAACAGCAACTTTCTCAAAATTAGCTAAGCAACTAATTTTTTTTTTCAACAATGCATTGCTGCTGCTGTAAACAGGCTTTGAAGCTTTCAGTTATGGCTTGAATTCTGTTTCTTTGAATTGGTCACTGAAATGTTCTACTTATCCACCTATGATTTTAAAGTCTTTATGATAACAACAACAACATGAAAGTCTATCTTTTTTGCAAAGCCAATTGTTTCTTAGGAACAGATGGGAATTTTAACTTAAGAATGGTCAAAAGTACTTTTCCAATCTTTTTGTTTTCTTGGTTTGTCTGCTAGTTTCATGCCTGTTACTCCTTACTGCTCTTAAAGATGACCCAAAAAAACATTCTAATCATGTTATAGACCTCACACAGTCTTAATTATGTCAGCATAAACGGATTGTTGCCTGTCAGATATACACTTTGTTAATTTATTCCTCAGGCCTGGGGGAAGGTAATACATTCCAGCAACATATAGACAAAACAAAAACATGTATTTACATTGCACAAAGTCAAAATATTAGATAGCTTAAATGCTGGAAGCAGTGCTTTTGATATTCACTGACTTAAAGGTATGTCTGGAACAAAAATATACATATCAAACACATAATTCTTTGCCTTCCTAAAAATGTTAACATTCTTCTTAAATAGGTAATATATAGTTTTACAACCAATCATGCTAATCAAATAAAGAGTTCCCTCTACTTTTTAGAATTTCATCTCCATGTCTACAGGATGCTTCTTTTCCCTTACTAATTTCTGCATTCTGTTGGGACAAGGTCACTTGCATGTCGTACTGTTAGTAACTCAATGCAGTGTTTCTGAACACTAAAAGAAAATCTTCTCTCCCTTCACTGTAATAATTTCTTCCTAGACTTCCACAAAACAAAATGGAACTCC